GCTGCCAGAATCAAAGGGGCTGCAAACGCTACTTCTGTGTGGGCCAAATACACAGCCACTGAGAGGACTGAGTGAGGGTTCAGAGGTCAACACCAAATGTGGCCCAGTCACTGCTAAGCTGCTACAAAGAAAACCTCAGGTAATAGATACTGTTTTTTAACATCCTTAGAGTTCCAAAAGTGACTCAAAACAACAAACCAATCCTCATACCTTTCCAGAACAGCAGAAGAGGATTACGAGAAACACAGGCAGCGCTACAGTCAAAACGTAGACCACCCAGAGCCACGGGCGCTCCTCGGCCGCCTCCAGCATCTGCCCCACCACGCCTGGCTGAAAAACAAGACACAACTGACTCCCCGTTCTGGCGCAGACAGCAAATACAGGCAGCACTGTTCCACTATTCAATGACCACGTGGTGCTACTCAGGATCTAGTTTTTCCAAAGGGTTCAAGCCAAAATGTTCACACAGAGGAAAAATAAAGGAAATAGGAGAAAATCTCCAATTTTCCTGTTCTCCATATCAACAAGGCGATTCCCCTTTCACAGGTGTGAAAGCCGGTTTATTAATAAACGGCAAAAGACTTAATTTTGGGAATCAGTGAATGAAAAATTTCTTGCTCTGTCTCTGGCTCTCCAATGCACAGCTTGGCCATATAGCCAACTGTTTGAAAATTGTGCCTATTGGGTGAACCAAGATTCAACTTTCAAGACTGAATTCAAATACACCCCCAATGGCAAATTTTGTTAAATATTTTCAACACAATAACAATTTTAAAAAACCCTACACATTACACAGATCCTAAAGTCACTGCATTCGACTAATGCAATCAACCCCAAAACCCCACTATTGTCTTTCCAGGCATAAATAATACCATTTTTTAAGCCAATGTTCCCAGATAAGGGAAAAGGCAATCCAGAGACAACAGGTTTTCGCAAAAGCAGCAACGGGTGACCTGTCATTGCAAATCCAAGTGCACAAGAAACAAGCCAGCACAGACCTCAGCTGCCCCATCGGCGGCTTTCTTCAGACCCCATCCATCAGTGGCCCAGTCATCGACTATTCTTCGATCGCTGCAAATGATGAAGTTGTCGAAAAAAATGTCCGAGGTCATGGACCACAGTTCCAAACCAATAGCACTAAAAGGAGTCATTTTGAAAGGTTCCAAATCTTCAAAGAAATCTGGATTTGGTATTTTCTGGGGTTTCCAGATTCCCTAAAAAAAAAAAAATTTTTTTAATCATTTCAGATAAAGATCAACATAAATTTATGCTGAACCTAAATAAGAATTAAAATGAATTCTGCATGACAGATGAATTTCATGCTGACTTTGTGAAACTTAACTGAATAACAGGAAGCAAACAATAAATGCTATTGATTTTTACACACTGCTTCGATGATGTCTGACCTCCAATTACTTTCAATTTCTAATACCCATGCATCCATGATCTTGATTCAAACCAACAACATCTCACTGTGCCTGGCACATTCTAAAGGCCTCCACTCTTACCAACTGGTTTGTTAGCAGGAGTGGAGCCTATATGGTACCAACTTCTTTAGTAGTGACTTATTTTTTTTAAGATTTTATTTATTTTGCCCCAGATGGTGTGGCTCAGTGGATTGGGTGCTGGCCTGTGGACAAAAGGGTCACCAGTGTGATTCCCCGTCAGGACACATGCCTGGGTTGCGGGGCATGTCCCCAGGTGGGGGCCCATGAGAGGTGACCACACTTCAATATTTCCCTCTCTCTTCTTCCTTTCCCCTCTCTCTAAAAATAAATTAATACAATATTTTAAAATAAGATTTTATTTATTTTCAAAGAGAGGGGAAGGGAGAAAGAGAGGGAGAGAAACATGAATGTGTGGTTGCCTCTCACATGCCCCCTCGGGGGGATTTGACCCAAAATCCAGGCATGTGCCCTGACTGGGAATTAAGACTGTAACCCTTTGGTTTGCAGGCTAGCACTCAATCCACTGAGCCACGCTTGCCAGGGCTCTTTAGTGGTGATTTAAAATGGAAATGATTTTTGCCCTGGCTGATGTGGCTCAGTAGACTAAGTGCTGGCCTATTAACCGAAAGATCACTGGTTTGAGTCTTGGTCAGGGCACATGCCTGCATTGGGACCAGGTCCCCAGCTGGGAGTGTGCAAGAGGCAACATCTCTCACACACTGATGCTTCTCTCCCCCTTTTTAAAAATAAAATAAAAATAAAGTGTAAACGATCTCCAACCAGCAATGTCACTTCTAAGTAACTGCCTACAGAAACAGGTTCTACATACACTGCACAAGAATGATTACTGCATCAAGGATTCAAAAAACAAAAAAACGGCAATTCACCTAAAAGGCCATCCATCAACCCAACAGCTAAAGTACAGTTTTTTAAAGGATAATTTTTAACTGATCTTACTGTTTGCACAATCAAAAATACATTAAAAAACAGAAAAGTAGTCCTGGCTGGTGGGTGGCTCGGTGGATTGAGTGTTGGCCAGTGAACCAAAGGGTCTCCGGTTCATTACCAGTCAGGGCACGTGCCTGGGTTGCAGACCAGGTCCCCAGAAGGGGGTGTGCAAGAGATAACCCTCTGTTTCTCCCTCCCTTCCCCTATCTCAAAATAGATAAAATCTTAAAAAAAGAAAAACAGAAAAGTATACATACAGCCAGAGTGTATGTAAAGACACAGACCCCAAGTGTGACACAATAGAATTAACAGTCACAAATAATTCGACTAGGACAAAAACAGAAGGACAGGATCTGACTGATTACAACAGGTCCATCATAGACACGGGGCTTTACCAACATCACTACCTGTACTCTCACTCTCTCTTCTGAGCCCCCCAGTCTTCTCCCAGTTGAGGACACTGACACTGAGCAATGAGCTGACTTGTGGTTGGGGAGCCACCTCCCACCCCAGTCCTGCCTCCACCTGGCCTTGCAGATGCTTGGTCTGTGTCCTGTGGCTACAGCCCCCTGCCACATGTGAGCCGAACACCCAAACTCAAGTTTTCCAGTTGTCTTTCGTTTTTAAACAAAAGTCACAAGGCAGCTATGAAAATTCTTCTTCCCAGTTTTTAGGCTTTTCTTTTCCACACTGAACATACAAGCTCTCTCGGTTTATGACGTTTACTTCGTCATTCAATAACCTGAACACAACGATCAGCCTGGCAGCCTCTATAGATCCCGCCTCTCCCTGAACAATGAGCTGCATCAGGAGGCACACACCTGGTAGTTAGGGTTGTCAATCATGGGTGGCTTCCATTTGCCCTTATAATTAGGATTGTCAATCATAGGTCGCTGCCAGACACCACAGCCAGGGGCTGACTCACACTTAGGGTTTGCAATCTGAGGAGCCTCCCATTCTCCATCCATATCTTCATCCCTGTGGAAAAACAAATTACAAATAGGTTCTGTGACAAAGGACTAGGAACTGCCATTGCAGGGCTCCCCTGACATTCTGTAGGAATGCTTTCACAAGGTCATACTACAGAGCACTGTGTTCTTTCTGCATTTCTAGTAACCAGTTTCGCACGATAGGTCCATTAAAAAGAAGGACACACAAAAATAATTAAATTTGTTGAGCCCTACGCTCTAAGATTGGGGACCTGGCTGTCTTTTAAGTATAAACTTTTACTTCAATAAAAAAGCAAGCAATTTAACAAGTTAACTAGAGCTCTTACCAATCCTCCGGCTTTTCTGCATCTGGATCAGCTACATACTCGGGCTCATCATCTAACCAGCCTTCAGGCTTTGTGGCTTCTTCATCAGCAATCTTAGCAGGGGCATCTTCATCCCTTAAATGCAAAAGGAAAAGGCAGTGATGACCAACAATGGTCAGAGAATCACAATGCAGACCCACTTTGTGGATCTGAAATGGCAATCTAAAAACATTCAGTTCTTAATCTCAACACTTAAAAATCTTCCTAGAAATTATTTGCAAGTCATGTATCTGATAAGGGCCTAGTATCCAGAACACAGAAAGAACTGTTGCTGCCTGGGGCGCCCAGGGGGTTGAGCTCCAGACTGAACCAAAAGGTCTCGCTGGTTTGATTCCTGGGCAGAGCACATGCCTGGGCTACGGGTCGGGTCCCACAGCTGGAGGCATGAGAGAGGCAATTAATTTATGTTTCTTTGCCCTTTCTCTCCCTTTCCCTCTCTCCAGAAAAAATAGAAATAAAAATCTTTAAACCCCAAAAGCCCCACAAAACCTCTTATGACTTAGTAACAAAGACAACCCAATTAAAAAATCAGTAAAGAATTTGAACAGATATGTAAACAGCCAATAAGTATATGGAAAGATGTTCATCATCATTAACCATCAGGGAAATGCAAACCAAAACCTCAGTAAGATACCACTTCACAACCACCAGGATGGCTAATAAAAAAAAGAATGACAAAAACAAGTGCTGACGCGAGAATATGGGGAAAATGAAACTCTCACACACTGCCAGTGGGAAAGCAAAATGGTGCAGCGCTTTGGAGAACAGTGTGGCAATTCCTCAAAAAGTTAAACACGGGGTTACCATATGGCCTGGCAATTGCACTAAGTATATATCCAAGAGAAACAAAAATGTGTACCCACCCACAAACCTATACCAGAACGTTCATAGAAGCATAAGTCGTAATCACAGCCAAGGTGAAACAACCTATATGTCAATCAGCTAAGGGATGGAGACACACAACTGGCATTAACCACACGATGGAACAGTGTTCAGCTATAAAAAGAAACGAAGCACCAACACGATGTTGATGTGGAGGAACCGTGATGGCATGTAGTTCATTATAGTTCATGAGAGAAGCCAGGTGCAAGAGGTCACGTAGTCATTCCATGTCCAGAATGGCCAAAGCCATAGAGACAAGAAGTTGGAAATGTAGAAATAGGGAGGAACTGCTGAATGTGAAGGGCTTTTGGGGGGGTGAGGAAGACCCTCTGGAGCTCGACAGTGGGGATGGCCATACAACACTGGGGAGTATACAACACCACTAAAGTGTACTGTTTTTTTGGCCAAGTGTCAGACTATCAATCATCCGGATATTCACTCAGCACAGACAAGCCTCTCTTCTCTCTGCCGCCTCATGACACAAACAACATGGCAGCCACTTCCGCAACACCTCCAGGGGCTGTTCAACTGCACCATGTAAAAGGGCCAATTTTAGCATGTTCATTAGAACTCAAACAGTTACTGCAAAAATAAAAGTTCATCAAGAAGCACCCCTCCGAGTTTCATTCAGTAGCTAAAAGAAGTGCCACTTCAGCTGGTAAGCAAAGACATCACACATGCTTGGCCAGGTGCTTATTTCTTAACTATGCTCATTTCAAATGACTTGTGCGAGAACCTGAACTTGCATTACACTCAGCTAGCCCTTTAGAACAGAACACTCACCCCCACATCCATGAAATGAAACAGCTAGTTAGGGAAAATGATGCTGAGCAAGGCCAAGTCCAGATCTAATGTTCACCAAATACACAAATAAACTCGGCATTCACAATAGTGCATCACACCAGTCCGGGAACCCACACCTTAATTTAAGGGAGGAAAAACAGCAACTACAGTTTCACTGCTGAACCTAAGGGGACACTTATGAATGGGAGATCAGTTGTATTACTCCTCCTTGCTCACTTCCTGGTATTTCTGCAAGCCAGTTTTGTCTCTCACCACGTTCAGGTGTGCAGCCGCACGGAAGGCACGCACACTCATTCCTCTCCCTCACTGAGCGCTGCAGGCACTCCACCTCTGCACGTGACCCGCTGCGTGGACCAGCATGGCCACTTCCTGTCATCACCCTTCAGTCCACTCCCACCCCATGGTCAAGTCTCACTGAGACTGGCGAGGCTCCATGAAACCACCCCTGGATGAAGCGCACCCAGTGCTCTGGTCACCAAGTGACACCTGCTGTTAGGCCACACACCACACGCATGCAACTTCATTTACCTGCTCAACTGGAGCTGTGTGGGCAGCTCATGTCCTTGTGGGTAAACTAAGTATCCTACCGCCCGAAACAGAACAGAGATCTCTGAGTTTTATTTAAATAGGATAAAGTTTATTTTTCAAATTAGAATTTAAAATCTCAGGACTCAGCCCTGGCTAGTGTAGCTCAGTGGATTGAGTGCTGGCCTGTGAATCAAAGGGACGCCGGTTGGCTTCCCAATCAAGGCACACGCCTGGGTTGTGGGCCAGGTTCCCAATAGTGGGTGTGCAAGAGGCAACCACACACTGATGTTTCTCTCCCTTTCTCCCTCCCTTCCCTTCTCTCTAAAAATAAATAAATAAAATCTTTTAAAAAATTTCTCAGGACTCAAGCTTTTGATGTGAATTCACAGAAGCATGTGAAAGGCCAGGCCAAGAGGCCCAAGGTGTTGCTATCACCCGACTGTGTCAGCACAGATGAGCTCACCCATCCAAGTGGCCTCTGGCCTGTGGAGGGTGGGAGGCCATCCAGATGGTCTGTGTGGCCCCACTTCGGCTGTGGGAGCCCACATTTTCCCTCCCATGTGCATTGCACCACAAATTATTAAAAGCACCACATCCAGACCAACATTCGTTTGTTTGACTGCACTGACTCACCAGTCATCTGGTTTGACAGCATCGGGATCTGGTATTTTTGGTCTTTCATCCCAGTCCTCGGGCTTCCGGTCTTCTGGGTCCTCGATTTCCCGTGAAGGGTTTACAGGAGGAGTCATGTCGTTGAGCAGATTTCCGCTATTCACTAGAGACTGGTCCACTAGTATTTCAAAACTGTTATCTGGATTCAAGACTGAAAAAAAGTAAAGGAAACTTTAAGAAGTTAATTACCTTTTCATTCCCAAGCTCTCTTTACAACACAAAAGACTGTATTTCTAACAGAAAGAAAGCAGAAACATGAAGAAAAGAACTCAGGCAATAAATTCAGAACATAGTCTTGGAGCCCTGGGCAAGTCAATCCTAGTTTATCTATAAATCCTAAAGCTAGTTCCTTAGAATTTTAGGAATTAAAACAGGTGATGGATGAAATTTCAAACAACAAAAGACTTCATTTACAAATTTTTTTTTAATTTCTAAAAAGTAAAACTATTGTAATATCAGTCTGACACAAATGATTACACGCCAGTGCAGGCAAATCAGCTTATTTATTATAACCACCCCCAGTAAGGGTCCATTTCCTCATTTTTTTTTGAGTTGGTATTACTACCATCTATGTTACCAAAATCTGAAACTATACCAATCTTTTATTTATCAAACCATGTCCACTCATGGAGTCCAATGGAGAATTAAAAAAAAAACACACAAGTTAAACCCATAGAGGTATCTCAAGTGTGACTGTGCTGGAGTCTGGGCCCCACGCCTGCACGTCTGGCTGGTGGTGACTGCGGCTGCACGTCCAGAAGACCACGCAGTGCTGGGCCACCGTTCTCAGTGGCACAGGATTCAGTCAGCAGTGTGGCCAGCGACATGTACACCCATAGAAAGATCCCCACGCTTTCGTGAAGTTGAAAAGCAAGTGCACAACAAGATATTTAACCTTCAACAAAATATTACATCCGTCTGTGCTCATTTTACACATGTGTCTATTCACAATCAAATATATATCGCAATGTTATTTCAGATAATTTTGAATGTCTTCATGTTTATTTCTATCTTCTGAATTACTATATTGAACATGTATTACTTTTGCTATAAAGAAAACAGGTTACTGTATTCTTTAAAAAGGCATGTGGCCCTGGCCAGGTGGCTCACTTGGTTAAGAGCATCATCCTGTACACCAAGAAAAAGGGTTGCAGGTTCGATCCCTGGTCAGATCACATACCTAGGCTGCAGGTTCAATTCTCAGTCAGGGCACATATGGAAGGCAGCAGCTGACTGATGTTTCTCTCTCACATATCACATCGATGGTTTCCTCTCTTTCTCCCTCTCCCCTTCCTCTCTAAAATCAATAAACATATCCTCTAGCAAAGATTTTTTTAAAAAGACGTGTGTATATGTAATCTCAAATCGGCAGGAAAAGCTTTAATAAAATAAAAATCCCATTTGAATGTCCAATGATTAAATTCAATTGTTCAGGTGTTGGGGCATCCAAGCAAACTTCAACTAAAAGATAATTTAAAAAACACTATGTACATATTTATATTACTTAACATTTTTCAAAAAGAAAACAAAGGGTGGAAATGAGGGCCTCGGCCAAGAAGCTCTTTATGGGACCAAAGCTTATTCTCAAAATCGTCCAAACCAAAATTCTCAACTCAAACTATGAAAGAGAAGCTTCTTTCTGTGCTGAGACATTAAGTTCATTTCACCACTAAGATATTAGGTTAACAGAGACTCTAATTTGCAGGCTTAGATCTTTAATCATTACAGTAAGTGAACGATAAATCTGTATGGCATAAAACCCCCCAAATTAATGGTTTTTCTTACTTAATGTATAAAGATGTGTTTTCTTATCAGTAAAATAGGTCTTCAGATCTGCATCTGGTCTCTTTGCATGCTTTTCCTCGTATACGCCTGTTTTGGGGTTTTTGTGGCGGAAGATGAAGTGCAATTTATAGTCCTCTCCACATTTATCTGGACCAAACATTATTGTGTAAGGAGTCTTGTCATGGAACTGGTCCTTCAGAAACAAAAGTGGATTACACTAAGTAAATTAAGAAGCAACTTTTCCAAAGTGTTTTACTCCCTCTCATAAAATCCCAAATAAACTACTGTCACATTAAAAGGAAAGCTGAGGCCTGGCTGGTGTGGCTCCATGGACTGAGCGCCGGCTGGATTCCCAGTCAGGGCATACGCCTGGGTTGCAGACCAGGTCCCCAGTGTAGGGTGTCCAAGAGGCAACCAATCCATGTATCTATCTCTCAGACATCAATGTTTTTCTCCCTCTCTTTCTCCCTTCCTCTCTCTAAAAATAAATAAATAATAGCTTTGGGGGGGAAGAAGAGGAAAGCTGATTCTGTAGAAGTACAAATGAACCTAGAGGGTATCATGCTAAGTGAAATTAAGTCAGATGAACAAAGATGTATCATGTCATTTCACTTACATGTAGGCGCTAAAGAACAAAAAGGAAGTAAACAGAAACAGACTCATGGATACAGAGAACAAACTGAGGGTTGCCAGATGGGAGGGGGTGGGGGGAGCTGGGTGAAAAGGATGAAGAGATTAAGAAGTATAAGCTGGCAGGTTGCAGCATAGTCACAGAGATGTCAGCACAGGGAATGTAACAACTATGTTTGGTGTTGGGTCGGTACTAGACTTATTGGGAATTCACTTCATATATTACATAAATGTCTAACCACTGTGTTATACACCTGAAACTAATAAAATACTGAATGTCAACTGTAATCGAAATCTTTTAAAAGCAAAGCTAATTAGTTTATGAGGTTCATATAGATAACAGTGAAAAGAAATGAACAAATTATCAGGAAATTTTACAGGAGATTATGGAAATGCTTAAAAAACAAAGGAATGCATATATCCAGACAGTTACTGATTCTGTCACAAAATGAAATAAGCTACAACTAAAAATTGCACTGAGCGGAAACCAGTAGACAAGCCAGCTTTGAACCTGCATCTCAAATAGAAAGCACAGAAATGTTAAAGTCACCATATCCCCAACCCTCTGAAATGATTCAATGGCAGAACAGGCCTTTATTTTTACGGATCTTACAAGATCTTCTTTCACAGGTAGCCGCATAAAATAACCCCACTGTCAAAGGGAAGTTACCTACCAAGTTGAGTTCCGGGGTTTTGGAAAGCAGTTTCACATAGGCACCGCCACATTCTATTCCATTTTGGAAATTAACCTCATACCTAATTTCAGAGAGAAAAGCAGAAAACCATATGGCACTCTAAAAGATCAAGTTTCTTATTTATTACCCCTTTCCTTATCTTTGTCTCAGTTTAGCATAGATCAAGTGTTTATCCTTAGAAAAGATTCCATCTTGTAATTGCTTTAGAATGACTTCCAAATCCTCCCAGAGTAAATAAATAAAATCAAAGCTTAATACAGATTCCAAGTACTGGGTTAGCCAAAAAAAGTTTAATCCCTCTTGTAATACACAGTAATTTTCCTAATTGTCTTATGTAGAGTAACAGTTTCATAATATGTCTTCTTGTGTCACCCTTCCTAGAAAGTTTCTATCAAAGAAACGTGTCACTT